ATAAATAAAGTGTGCCATGTAATACGTGAGTAGGAATGAGTGAGAGCTAACAGATAAAATAAGTGCAAAATTGTCATTTATTAATACAATTAAACTATAGCTACTCCACTGTGATGAACCCCCCTAAAAAAAACTATAAGCTCCATTGGAACAGCAATACCAGTGTTTCTCACAGGATTTTAGGTAAAACTGTGGTAGGTGGACCTCTGTTTCTCTAGGGGGGTTCGGGGGCATGCCCCCCGTAAGAAAATTTTCTGTTCTTTAATGTTAAATTCAGCAGTCTGGTGCACTTTGAGAGTTCAAAATTAAAAGCTCCAACCCATATTCAGGGTGCAAATTAAACAAAGAAAAATTTAAACCTCTTTTAGTTAGTGTCTGTCTACATTACACTACTACATAATAATAGTTATAATATTAATCCCATGATAGTAATAGCCATATATTGTAAAACAAATGCACTGAAAAATAGTAACAAGAAAACTTTCATATTTAGTTTTGTACTAATTTCTATACTTGAAAGATATAAGCACATGATGACATGTTTCATGGGCCGGTGTGTCAGAAAAAAACTAACGCTGACTTTTTTTGCCCAATGCATTACACCGGCACTAACCCAGCGCCTCCAATTAAGCAAAAAAAAAAACGAATGGGCCGCCGATGTTCGAGTTTTATGGGCCGTTAAGACAAAAAAAAAAAAAAAAGTATGAGAGTACGAAAAAGCACGTCGGCCCACCGGGAATCTCCCGGTAGCCCCGATGGCCACAGAGATATAGATAGCCTACATGCCTGGATGTCACACTTTAAATCCTACCTGTTGGCTTTCAGCATGCACTTATTTAGCTGCTGTCACATCAAATGACATGCCATCTCATTTTCCCTCCTTCTTTTTCTATTTTTAGCCCCCCAGCATTTTGTTTTATCCATCTTTTTCGACGACAAGTCACTAGGCTACTTGTACCTCCTCGCTCAGCGCTCACGGCGCCCCTGCCCGCTCGCGATATTATTACCCCGCCCCCCTTCTCCATGAGGGCGCCTACTCTAGCCTGTTAGTCCTCTAAAATTTTATATAACATTGAAGAAATGCAGAAATGATTTAGAAACGCACAACAGCAGCTACATATAGAAAATACAATATATATATATATATTTTTTTTTTATTAAATTTAAATTAAAAAAAATGTACCATCGCTTTGGCGCCCCCCATGGTGCTGCGCCCCTATGCGCCGCATATAGCGCATACCCACTTTTTGCGCCACTGGTGAGAGCGGCGTAGCTTGTCGGACATAGCGACTAGGGGTGGGACGATACAGGTACCTCACGATTCAATTCTGTGGCGATATGTGGTCCACGATATGATAATATCACGATTCGCGATATCTACGATATTCAATATATTGGAAGAAATCTCATCAACGATATATCACGATATATGTGACTGAAAAGAAAGATTAACAATGCATGTGTACATATTGAGAATTAATATACCGTAAAACTTCCCATGTTTTTATTTTCCCAAATCGTCGAACTGCACCGGCTTGTATTCGAGACAGGCGTCTATATGAGACAGGCCTTTATAATTTAGTGTTGAGATGTTGTTCATTGAGTTTAGGCCTAGAGTCTCTAATCTCTAAAAATCTCCAAATGCTCCACGTGAAACTGCGGTCTTCCGACCTTTTACTATCGTGTCAATTGATTTTGATTAATATGCGCGAGGGAGAGAGCAAGACAGCGCTCGTGTTGTTTGAAGACGTGAGAGTGCGCGCGCGCGGCCGTTGCGCTCTCTCTGCTCGTAAAACCCGAAGTGTCTCCACACTTTAGAGTGGAAACTAGCGGGTGGGTCTTTGATTCGTTTTATATTGGTTTCCGCCATTCTTCTCGCTTCTCTCTGTTGTTGTTAGTTAACTTGTGTTCTTCACCGGCCGCTGTTTGCGCCACTTTACCCCTATTTACTCGAACAGCGCCCCCCGCAAACAGAATGGTAGATATTGGGTAGTGACAGTGACACTGACAACGGGTAAATTAATCATTTTGTGTTGTAATAAAATATCGATATTGGGCGTTAGTGTATCGATTATTTATTGCGACAGAGAGCACAACAATATATTGCAATATCGATTTTTTTTCCCACCCCTAATAGCGACAGTAAATAAGGGGGGCGGGTCTTTGCGAAGGGTCAATTCGGCATGTTGTGTGTAGAGTGACCTCATAAACCACAATTGAGCATGTTGTGTGTAGAGTGACCTCATAAACCACAATTGAGCATGTTGTGTGTAGAGTGACCTCATAAACCACAATTGAGCATGTTGTGTGTAGAGTGACCTCATAAACCACAATTGAGCATGTTGTGTGTAGAGTGACCTCATAAACCACAATTCAGCATGGGCCTCATAAGCCTGTGAAATGTCACATAATAATTATTTGTGTGTTGTAAAAGTGAAATTGCTATTTTGAAGCATGGATTGTTTTTTGTAGATCAAATTAAATTTTTTGACATGACTTTCATGTCGATTGGATGTTGGGAAAGGTGTGTCCCCGTAAACCACTAAAAAGTCACATTGACCTCTTAAACCACATATGCCTGTATGTGTGTGTGTGTGTGTGTGAGAGAGAGAGAGTGCGCGTGTGTGTGTAAGAGAGAGAGTGCGCGTGTGTGTGTGTGTGTGTGTGAGAGAGAGTGCGTGTGTGTGTGTGTGTGAGAGAGAGAGAGAGAGTGCGCGCGTGTGTGTGTGTGTGTGTGTGTGTGTGTGTGTGAGAGAGAGAGTGCGCGTGTGTGTGTAAGAGAGAGAGTGCGCGTGTGTGTGTGTGTGTGTGTGAGAGAGAGTGCGTGTGTGTGTGTGTGTGAGAGAGAGAGTGCGCGTGTGTGTGTGAGAGAGAGAGTGCGCGTGTGTGTGTATGTGAAAGTCTGTGTAAGTGAGTGTGTGATTGTTTAAGAGAGAGTGTGTGTGTGTGTGAGAGTGAGAGTGTGTGTGTTTGAGAGAGAAAGAGAGTGTACGTGTGTGTGTGTGAGAGAGAGAGAGAGCATGTGTGCGTGTGTGTGTGTGTGAGTGAATGTGAGTGTGTGAGAGAGAGAGAGAGAGAGAGAGAGAGAGAGAGAGTGCGTGTGTGTGTGTTTGTGTGTGTGAATGTGAGTGAAATACAAATATAAAAAAAAAAAAAAATTAACAAAAGCACAGATAATAAAGAAAAAAAATTAAACCGACAAAATAAAAATGAAACGAAATGAAAAATGAAAGCTAAATCTAAATATTAATAAATAATTGAATAATACTAAAATAACACTGATCTCGAAATGGCTTCAAATCTGGCTAATATTACTATAAAATATGTCACTAATGTTAAACATGACACAACACTGTCAGAGAGTGAAGCGTTATGGGAAAATGAATGCAGAAATGAACAACACACACATTCGGTCACACGTATCTCAGTCCTAGAGAAGGAAAAGCCCTCGTCTCTGCAGTGAGAGGCGCTCGGCATACAGATGAACCCAAAGCTGAGTTCACTCGAGTGGACAGGGGGAAACCAGGTGACCATGGTAACCAGACGAGTCTCACACACACACACACACAGTGTCATTTACTGTGAGTATCAGTGCAGAAACAGAGTCAGAGACAGGACGTCCGGGACGATCGACATACAGTAATTGTAGAGAGAGAGAGACACTCATCCGGACATCATTTAGAGAACGTCTCATTCATTATTCATAACCCATCAGCTGTCACTCACACATCTGACTGACCGCTTTCTGTCGGCATAAATCATGCTTATGTTCTAACGCAGTGTTTACGCTGCTTCTCATGCATGTGATGAAAGATTGAGCTCAAATTACGGCCATAAAGCATCATAACAGTGACAGTGCACTATTTGACTGAAATATTAAGATTCATCACATACTTTATACACAAATACAAGCATTAAACACATAAATACTTGATAAATAGTAAGATAAGATGAAATATAAGGAATAATAATATTTTAAATGTATAATTATATATTAAAAATAATAATAATATATAGTAATGGCCAAATATGATGTTTAAAGGGGATATTTGTTGTTAATGACCCAACTAGTTCAATTAAACCATCAAAATATGAGGAAAATATGTCATATTTTTAAATATGAGGCGAGTAAATGATGACAGAAAGATCATATCTGGGTGAACTGGCCCTTTAAATATTTTGGTTGCTTTCATGATGCTTTTTAAAGTCCCCCTGTAGTCAATAATTGTCTCCCTTAAACTCATATGACGTCCCTGTTTTTACAGATTCATGCTTTCGTAGTTTTACACGGAGACGATAATGGTATCGCTTTCAAAAACGTGAAAGTTTGGATTTTCAGACCCACAAAAATCGTCTAAAACGCATAATTTTTCCCTTTTTTAGTTGAAAATCAGTTTACATCTCTGAAATCTCTTCTATATAATATTGTGTTGATGCTGGCGTTTTCAATATTATTGCAATGCTGTTATTTCTAACTAAAACTATAAAAAATCGGCTTCAGAAATTTAAATTTAAATGGAATAAAATCAACTGTTGAAGTAATAAAATGACTAAAACTGAAATAAAATAAATTAAAGCTACACAGAAATATAAAAAAAAATACAAAAAAATGAAAATAAACCCTACTTCAGTTATAATGAAAACGGAAAATATAAAAGCAAATTCAAAATAATAATAATACTTGAAAATACAAAAAAAATTAATAATACACAGATAGAAGTATATAATATATACAATAATCCTGTCAAATCGATTAATCGCGATTAATCGCATTGAACATTAACGTTTGTACATATACATATGTGTGTGTGTGTCTATATATTTACATATATCGATATATACATACAGACACACACTAACAAACGTTTGTTCGATGCGATTAATCGCGATTAATCGATTTGACATCATATAATAACTGACCGAACCGCTTTACTGATTAACAGAAGTGTTCGAGCTCGTTTTCCGTCCTGAAATGATCCGCGATGAGTATTTGCTTGTACCTGTTTGCCGTCCAGCGTGTAAAGCCTCTTGACCACACCTGAGTCCAGTTTAATGGCCTCGGTGATGTCAGCGAGCACCTGGTCGAACGAGTGCGCCGTCTTCTTGTTCAGGAGGATCCTCACGGCCTTCCTCGGCTTCACGCCGCTGCGGATCACCGTCACTAGTTTGGGTTTGATGAAGTCTTTAGACTCCCGGGAATCCCCCGGTGCGCGAGGAGGCCCGGGACGAGTGGCTCCGCCCACTGGCCCCGCCCCCAAGCCAAGCCCCGCCCCCCTCGACCCCCAGTTAGGGTTGACGTTCTTGGTGTAGTCCACCTTCCTGTAGGGCTCGTTCGAGGCGCACACGTAACTCTCACCTGTGGTGGGAACATCTCAGATTAGTTGGGGTTTTGTTTGCTCAGTATAGTCAATCATTTTATCCCTTAAAACTCATCTTTAATCACCGAAATGACATATTTAAACTTTGTTTCCTTGAAAAAAATTTCTATTTGCCTTTAAAATATCTTGAATGTAACTCGACACCCTTGCCTCATTTAGTATGCGCGGTTCTATGAATATGCAAATGAGCCCCGCCTCCACTCACTCACTCAGCTCAGAGATCCACTGGTTGACGATCACACGTTGATCTGATTGGTTACAAGGTCGTTTGTGACGTCAGTCTCAAAAACACGGTTTGAAATCGCTGGTGTTTCTGTCTTTGGTTCACTGCAGTTTTAAGCAGAAAATACTCAGCAATGCTGTCGACTTATGAACTTACACATGGTGTGTCTTAAAGCAGATTAAAAACACCACATAGACACATAAACAACATTAAAAGCTGGATTTTTCAAACTTTAAAGTTCCCCTGAGAGGTTAAGTAAATATTTCAATTATTTAACAACACATTCACATGTTCCTGGTTCCTTGATGTTGGTTTATGGTCACTCGACATGCAGGTAAAATATTAACAATAATATTCCAAATAAATACAATATTTCATCTTGATTGATTTTATAATCTTTTAATTTGACATTTTTATGTTTTTTTATTATTTATTTTAATTTGACATTTTAATTTCATTTAAAAATATTTAAATTTTAGATTTTGTTTTTTATTTTTTATATAAATTTTAGATTTTGTTTTGTTTTAAACTTTAAAAAAAAAAGATTTTTGTTTTATTTTGAAATTATTTAATCTCACATTTTAATGTTTTATCGTAAAATTACTTTTAAATTTAAATTTGTTTTGTTTTAAAAAATTTCAATTTTGATATTTTTATTTAAAAATGTACATTTTTATGGTTTATTATAAATTACTTTTTTATTAAAACAGTTTTATATAAATATTATTTTTAAAAATTGTTTTAAACTATATGTTAAATTTTAAATGTAAGTTTTATTTTATCTCACATTTTCATGTTTTATAAATAAAATAATTTATTTTCAACTTACATTTGTTTTGTTTAAAAATAATTTTAATTTTACATTTTTGTTTTTTTTGAAAATAATTAATTTTACCTTTACATTTTTATGTTTCATTATTAATTTCACATCATTGTAATTTAATTAATTTTTTTTCTTTTTTTTTTATTAATTAAAAGTTTTTCACAAACTCACCAACCCCAGTTTGGGAAACTCTGATATAGAAAGTTGTAATGGAAATTGCTTTATGGTTACTAGGCCATTTCTGAGTGGTTTCCATGGTTACAAAAGCAAAGTTGGACCACCATCCCCAAACTATGTGTGTGAAAATGCTGATGCAGTGATTGATGCTCCTGCCGATCGCCATGGCAACACGACCCCAGGGGTCAAATCAGCATCATCACGTGCCAGGTGTGAACGTGCACGTGTGTGTGTGTGTGTGTGTGTGTCTGTACTTTAATTCTATAATCCACAAGCTGACGCCACAGACTGAAAGTCCCCTTATTTTCAGGTCAGTTTCTGCTGATTCAAACACCAGCTCAAGCTCACAAGGACTTTCTCAAGGTCAAAGACTCCAGATGTTCAAGTAAAATATCATCTGTGTGATTCTCCAGCTGTGTGAGTTACTGTTAAACTCCTGTAATTCACCCACACAATATCTTTGAATGAGTCTCTTCTGCATTTATTTGATCAAAAATACACTAAAAATGTGAAATATTTTTACAATTTAAAATAACTATTTTCTATGTGAATATACAGTAAAGTGTAATTTATTCCTGTGATCATCACCTGTTTTCAACACTGATAATAATCATAAATGTTTCTCGAGCATCAGATCCTCATATTAGAGTGATTTCTGAAGGATCATGTGACACTGAAGACTGGAGTAATGATGCTGAAAATACAGCTTTAATCACAGGAATAAATTACACTTTACTATATATTCACATAGAAAACAGATGATTTACATTGTAATAATATTTCACATTTTTACTGTATTTTTGATCAAATAAACGCAGAAGAATTAAAAATCGTAATTATCGCAAACCGCTAGTGTGAGACTGTTTAACACTGCACGAGGCGCTATCGATATACGAATGACATATTGATACATGATGCATGAAGATGATTACAACACAAACCCTTCATCTTTAGAAAACTTTAGACTGCCGATTGTGCAAAATACCAGAAGCACTGACTGCAGAAATATGATATCTTTATAAAGGCAAACAAATATTTCAATAAAGGTTTAAAGGACAGCAGATTTGAGTGAGCTCGTCCATCAGAGTCACACACATCAACAGCGCGTGCACATGTCCCGTTAACCGGCGTTAAGTGCACGAGCTGGAGAGCTGTGTGTGTGTGTGTGTGTGTGTGATGAGACTCTCTCCCTCTAATGACTGATCAATCAGACTGTGACGTTCACTGATTAATGATCTAAAGTCACTGACATCCACTCACTCACTGAGGCTCAGCTGATCAACAGAAGAGCTCAGGAGAAAACACACACACACACACACACACACACACACACACGTATATTATATTGTGTTTTGCACAATTATGAAAAAAAGAATGATGCCTGTTTAAGTACCGTTAAAATTAACTGTGACATAATTTTCCATGACGAAATTCTCATTATTGCACGTGAACATTTCATTTTTGCATTTACAGTAAATATATTCTAAAATTAATATAATATTGCATAATATACAAACAATAATAATAATACTGTATAATTTTATAAATAATATTACATAATCTCTTTATTACAGTATATATATATATAGTATATATATAAAATTTGCCATTTTATATATATTTGCCTAACCCAATTTGTAATATTGATATTAAAACATAACATAATATATATAGGCCTGTATATCACACACACACACAAACACACACACACACACACACAGACACACACACACACACACACACATATACACTCACCGGCCACTTTATTAGGTACACCTGTCCAACTGCTCGTTAACACTTAATTTCTAAGCAGCCAATCACATGGCGGCAACTCAGTGCATTTAGGCATGTAGACATGGTCAAGACAATCTCCTGCAGTTCAAACCGAGCATCAGTATGGGGAAGAAAGTTGATTTGAGTGACTTTGAACGTGGCATGATTGTTGGTGCCAGAAGGGCTGGTCTGAGTATTTCAGAAACTGCTAATCTACTGGGATTTTCACGCACAACCATCTCTAGGGTTTACAGAGAATGGTCCGAAAAAGAAAAAACATCCAGTGAGCGGCAGTTCTGTGGGCGGAAATGCCTTGTTGATGCCAGAGGTCAGAGGAGAATGGCCAGACTGGTTCGAGCTGATAGAAGGGCAACAGTGACTGAAATAACCACTCGTTACAACCGAGGTATGCAGCAAAGCATTTGTGAAGCCACAACACGCACAACCTTGAGGCGGATGGGCTACAACAGCAGAAGACTCCACCGGGTACCACTCATCTCCACTACAAATAGGAAAAAGAGGCTACAATTTGCAAGAGCTCACCAAAATTGAACAGTTGAAGACTGGAAAAATGTTGCCTGGTCTGATGAGTCTCGATTTCTGTTGAGACATTCAGATGTTAGAGTCAGAATTTGGCGTAAACAGAATGAGAACATGGAACCATCATGCCTTGTTACCACTGTGCAGGCTGGTGGTGGTGGTGTAATGGTGTGGGGGATGTTTTCCTGGCACACTTTAGGCCCCTTAGTGCCAATTGGGCATCGTTTAAATGCCACGGCCTACCTGAGCATTGTTTCTGACCATGTCCATCCCTTTATGGCCACCATGTACCCATCCTCTGATGGCTACTTCCACCATGTCACAAAGCTCTAATCATTTCAAATTGGTTTCTTGAACATGACAATGAGTTCACTGTACTAAAATGGCCTCCACAGTCACCAGATCTCAACCCAATAGAGCATCTTTGGGATGTGGTGGAACGGGAGATTCGCATCATGGATGTGCAGCCGACAAATCTGCGGCAACTGTGTGATGCCATCATGTCAATATGGACCAAACTCCCTGAGGAATGCTTCCAGCACCTTGTTGAATCTATGCCACGAAGAATTGAGGCAGTTCTGAAGGCAAAAGGGGGTCCAACCCGTTACTAGCATGGGGTACCTAATAAAGTGGCCGGTGAGTGTATATAGCCTATACATTTATAATTTTGATAATATTAGACGTTATAGTATATATATATATATATATATATATATATATAATTTGCCATTTATAATTTTGATAGAATATTATTTATAATATTAGACGATATTATATTATGTGTTATCAATAGTCTATAACAAATTAGTAATGTATATGTATAGCCTATATATATACAGTATATATATATAGAGAGAGAGAGATTTAACCATTTCACTACACACGTTTGTAATATGTAGCCTAAGTGACAAATGAAGAGCATTGAGCCGATATAGACCATTGCGGGGATTCGAACTTGCAACCGTTCAGCCCTTATATGGTCATGACTCACAGCGACCCTTCCGGCCCTCAACACGCTAATATCCTCATTAATATCTGACCTTCCACCAGCTCCTCCAGGCTCGCGATCTTCCTCGCGCCGTCCGCGCTGTAGATGTTGCGCACACCTTGCGGCAGGTGCAGGTTATCCGTGAGCGCGCGCGTCAGCTCGGCCAGGAGCGCGTCCATTGATCTGAAGCGGTCGTTGGACACCGCGTACACCAGACCCTTGAAATACCGGTCCCCGTTCCGGTAGAACCGAACCTTCTTGGCTCGTTTCTCGGAGCTGAGCGTCTGGAGCGTGCGCGTGCGGTAGAAGCTGCAGTTCGCGCTGTGCGCGGGACTCGGTACCAGACTGCTCGCGCGCGAACCCGAGCCGCCCGAAACCACCGCGCGTTTGGAGCGGTGCGCCTTGTCCCGCTCGTCAAAGTGCTCGAGCTCGATGCTTCTGCTGAGAGACATGTTTCCCGACTTTTCCCAAAGGTTCTGTTTTTATCCTCCGCGTTTATATCGTTAAGGTCCGCTATTGTCATCAGCGCGAGCGGACGCGCCGCTCTCCCCGCTGCGCGTTTACCGGGCGCACGAGCATCATTTACATCAACACAAAAGCAGACCGGCGTTTTTTCCGCGTTCAAACGGCCATTCGAATAGAGGATGGAAAATATTCCAGATAATTCTGCTGGAGAATAATAAATGACAAGCTCGGACGACAAAAACCAGGATAAACAGGAAAATCCTGGTCAAGCGGGATCTTCCATTGAGACACTGTGATGAAAAAAATCCCGATCCGCCCTGAACCGAGAGCGGTGTGTGTGTGTGCGGTTTTTAGGCGCGCGCCCCGCTGTAACCGGGCAGCATGGCCGGACACGGGAGCGCGCAGCCCGTTCCTCCACCTCGGCGCGCGACACCCCGCTGCAGGTGAGCGTGTGGCGCGCGCATCAGACTCTTCCGCGCGGTCTTAATGCCGTCTGACAAGACAGTAAAAGTGGGTCATACTCATCAGAAAAACAACGTGATGTTTGACATTTCTGTTTTTAAAACATGAAAGCACAGATCTATTTTTATATTCTAATTTTAGGCACAAATAAACTGCAAGATTGCATCAGAGAGAATGATTGTTTAATCGTCTGCTGCACTGCGTCCACCAGAGGGCAGACTAATGCTGGTCACACTTTTATTTATTTTACAATTGCTTACACGCTAAAATTAAAATAATAACTCAGTTCGTGAAACCTGAGCCAACCCTCAGCCCAGATCTGCACTAACACAAACACATTCTCACACTCACACTGTTCTGCAAAACACTACACACACTTCAGACTCGTTACACTCCACATTACACACAGAAATATCTGGCATTTCGAGCCTTGTTTTTAACCAGTCGTTAAAACTGCATTTATTTAAAACATAAAATAAAATAAAGATTATTGAAGTAGGTTTTACAAGAAAATACTATTTCATTCTTTATACTTCAATTCAATTTCAATCCAATTTCCACTTCTTTGTAATTAATTGTGAAATGTACTAGCAATTTTTGTGTGGAAATTGTCAAAAATTTATACATACAAAATGGCGGTAACTATTTGGTAACACTTTATTTTACAATGTTACATGTACTTACCATAGTAATAACAGTAAATTATGCATAATTACATGCAACCAACTCTTTAACAAGCCCTAATCCTACCCTAAATACATGTAGTTTATTAATATTACTCTGTACTTAAATATATAATTACACTGTAACAATGACACCCTAATAAAGTGTAACCAAAATGACAACACGTTAAAAATGGCAATGCTCAAGTTTATTTCTTTATTTCTTTGTTTTGCACTTCCATCTGTTCCTGCATAGTACATCATACATGTGAATGCACCATAAAGGTTTTAGTTAAATGAGGTAATATTCACCTGATGTCTCAACCTTTGTTTAATTAGTCCTAACTCACTTTCACTTACTAACACTAGTTTAATAAGCTCTAACACACACACTTCATTAATCAAACACAGTCACAGAATGAGCACGTTTATTCCTGCACATCTAATGCTAATCAAAAACAAAACATCATCATTTATATGACATCTCTCTTTTTTAAAGTTTCCCAGTGACAAAAGATCAGAATTAAAAGATGAAAAAAAGTGTGAGATGATTAATAATTTTTGTGCCATAAAAGAGGGATAAATATAAACACCACCCCTGGTTTTAGAATATGTAAATAGCGTACGTGTTTCTCATTAGAGAATAAAAACATCTGTTTGATATTAATGTGGCAGTGTAATCGCTCACAGGTCAGATCGTCTTGTTCAGATTATCAGGATATTTTTAGGATTATCATTTGCATCATAAAGCACAGCTTTGGTCTAAAGGAAAGATGATCTCCATTGATGACCAGCCATTTATATAATCATAAATCTGGTATCATAAAGTCCATATCTGAGACTCTTTTCACTCTTTACATGGTCTGGAGTTCAGCTTTTTCCTCTTAATAAACAGTCCCGTGTGTCTCGGGAATATCCCGGACGAGCCCCCAATTTGTTAGATTGAGGCTTCAGATACTTGAAAATTAACCCTACATTAACAAATTCATATTTTTCCTGTGACGTCACACACTTATAGGAACGGCCAAACAAGGCTTACCTTAGGGTTTCCTCACATATTTGAGTTTTTCTTCTTTCTAAATATTCATGGCTTACAGTTTTTTACAGTCGCTAGGACACATTTCTCAATACTTAGGTCACTTTTTCAAAACTCGTCACACAGTGAGCACAACAGAAGTGTATGTGGGCTAAACTGAGGATCTTTTATCATTGCTTTGGCATAAAATGCATCCAATGAACATCTTTCAAATTACTTTAATTATTTTCTCACTTCGACACAACAACCACCAAAACTCGGTGTACCTACAGGCTAATCTGCACATGCTTACACACTGTTTTCAAAACTGTTAAACTTAAGTTCAAAACAATAACATAGTACAAAACTGATTAAGACAGCATTTTGCCACATTTCTACAGTAATATTGTAATGAAATATATTTCGGATCTAAAAATTAAATGGTATAAAACAATCGGACGATTGGACCAACCACAGCTGATTCCTATTGTGTCTGAATCAGTGGATGGTGTGTATACACATGTTTGTACTTTGGAATTACTCCACAAAGATAAAATATATAAAGTATTGAAGCATAATGCATCATGTCTAATTTATTCTAGTAACATTATTGCAGTGAATTCTAAACAATGGAAGGGTGTCCTTGTTTTACAGAAGAAAACATTGTATAACGTTTCCTGTTGTTGGTGTTTTTAGGTCATTGTTTTGTGGGTGTAAAAGTGTGTGTGTTGGCTGTCATTTTGCTAGTGTTCTGGAAGAATGTGTTGATCTGAGACATGTACGAAGTGATTTTGTAGTTTTAGTGCATGTTGAATGTGAAATGAACTGCCGAGCTGAACGCTGCTTAGGAGAACTGTGTGAAGAGTTTTGAAAAGGTGACCTAAGTATTGAGAAGTGTGTCCTAGCGACTGTAAAGAACTGTAAAACGGACGGAGAATTTACAGGCCTCTTTCTGACTCTTTCGTGAGTTTGGACTCTGCTCTTGTCACGTACTGTTTTTCACGTACTATATAGTAGGGAAGTGTGCGATTTGGGACACGGCGAGTGAATAACACACACAAACGTTGAACAGATCGAGTCCAGAGTCCTGTGTGTGTGTTCATGCAAACTCAAATGAGTGACTCAATAACATGTACTGAGACTTCACAAGTGCGCACTTGCATACACTTAGAGCATGAAGTCGGAGTGTTTGGCGTGTGTTTGGCGTGTGTTTGGCGTGTGTTTAGCGAGTGTTTGGCGTGTGTTTGGCGTGTGTTTGGCGAGTGTTTGGCATGTGCTTGGCGTGTGTTTGGCGTGTGTTTGGCGTGTGTTTGGCGAGTGTTTGGCGTGTGTTTGGCGTGTGTTTGGCGTGTGTTTGGCGAGTGTTTGGCGAGTGTTTGGCGAGTGTTTGGCGTGTGTTTGGCGTGTGGTTGGCATGTGTTTAGCGTGTGTTTGGCATGTGTTTGGCGTGTGTTTGGCGTGTGTTTGGCGTGTGTTTGGCGTGTGTTTGGCGTGTGTTTGGCGTGTGTTTGGCGAGTGTTTGGCGTGTGTTTAGCAAGTGTTTGGCATGTGTTTGCCGTGTGTTTAGCGAGTGTTTATCGAGTGTTTGGCGTGTGTTTAGTGTGTGTTTAGTGAGTGTTTGGCGTGTGGTTGGCATGTGTTTGGCATGTGTTTGGCGTGTGTTTAGCGAGTGTTTGTCGTGTGTTTGGCGTGTGTTTAGCGAGTGTTTAGCGAGTGTTTGGGTGTGTTTGGCGTGTGTTTGGTGTGTGGTTGGCGATTGTTTGGCGTGTGTTTAGAGAGTGTTTGGCGTGTGTTTAGCGAGTGTTTGGCGTGTGTTTAGCGAGTGTTTGGCGTGTGTTTAGCGAGTGTTTGGTGTGTGTTTGGCGTGTGTTTAGCGAGTGTTTGGCGTGTGTTTAGCGAGTGTTTGGCGTGTGTTTAGGGAGTGTTTAGCGAATGGTTGGCGTGTGTTTGGCGTGTGTTTAGCGAGTGTTTGGCGTGTGTTTAGCGAGTGTTTGGCGTGTGGTTGGCAAGTGTTTGACGTGTGGTTGGCGAGTGTTTGGCGTGTGTTTGCCGAGTCTGAGGAGGAGCTGTCGTGGATCAGAGGTATTTCGGCTCTGTGTTTGAGCTCCTCTCACACGGATAGTGTAGTAGAGCATCTTCCTCCCGAACTGTGCTTACAAAACATCATTTATTGCAACATTACATCTATAACTAACCGCTATCATAATATATTTGGGTTATATTCCTAAAACTACTTTATTATTAAAAAATCAACAGACCTGAGTATGTATAGTTATATGCTTTATAATTGTGCATCTGTCTCAAAGATAAACCTCCCCATGCTCAAAAGTGCCTTATTTGATTGTGTGTGTGTTTGTGCATGTGTGTGTGTGTGCCTGTGTGTGTGTTTGTACATGTGTGTGTGTATGTGTTTTTGTGCATGTGTGTGTGCGTACATGTGTCTTTGTGCGTGTGTTTGTATGTGTGTGTATATGTATGTGTGTGTATGTCTTTTTGTGCATGTGTGCATAAGATTGTCACAGTGAATCAGAAACACATCAGACGGGATTCTCAGGGTTTGTCCACCTTGATCTGCAGGACGTCACTCAGACCCGGCCGCTTTCTCAGCGCCTGATCAAGTAAAACACATTTAATTACAATCAGATAATCACAACAAATATTTCAATTTCAGAACGTTTATTTTTTAAAGTGTGAGTGTGGTCAATATTTGATGTGTGTTTATTTGGGACATTAGCCGTATTAGATGTACAGTATTTCCGGCAGTGATTTCACCTGTAGGTTGTTGACTATCTCCTCAAATAATCTCTTGGCTTCTTCGTTGTCAGCATCCTCGAAGTAATCAGCGATACACAACTGAACCACGACACACTTGAGATTGACACACACACCTCACACACACACAGACAGAGAGCAGCTGCGTCAGACATGTCTCACAACAAGTATTTCTGTATGTCAACCAACACACAAAATCACACTCTCTTTGCTTAAATAGATGCAAAACAGAAGAGACCAATCACAATTTAGTATGCAAATAATTGTGAGAAAGAAAACCAACTGGAATTAATATGCAAATATTACAACAGTATTTGTGCAAGTCTGTGAATAACGTCTCGGTTACGTATGGTAACCCTCGTTCCCTGAGGAGGGAACGGAGACGTGAGTCAGAAGTGATTCTGACGAATGGGGATCGCTTGCGAGAGCGAAAAAATTGTCTCCGGACATCTCCGTTCCC